TATACTTGTAGGTACAAAAGCATTTTTGCATGCTACAAAAGAAGGATCGTCTTTTGTTATTTATGCCACATCCATTTTAAATGATGGAAATATTTCAAGTGAAATTTCAAGTCAATATTAAGATTTTTAAGATGTTTTTGAGAAGAATTCTAATATTCTTCCAAAGCATCATCTTTATGATTGTTCAATCGATCTTAAAGAAGGATCTCAGCTGACATTTGGTCCAATCTATAGTTTATCATAAAATGAATTGGCTGAACTCAAGAAGTACATTGATGAAAACTTGGCGAAGAATTTCAGATGTCATTCAAAATCTCTTGTAGGAGCTTTTATCTTATTTGTGAAGAAAAAAGATGGATCATTGTGAATGTGCTTGGATTATCGAGGACTCAACAAGATTATTATCAAGAATAAATATCCTTTGCCTTTGATATTTAGACTTCTCAATTAATTAAATCAAGCTAAGATCTATATAAAAATAGATCTACAAAGAGCATACAATTTCGTTCGCATTAAAAAAAGAGATGAATAGAAGACTGCATTTTGAAGAAGGTATAGATACTTTGAATATAACGTCATGTCTTTTGGACTTACAAATGCATTAGCTGCTTCCTAACATCTTATGAATGATATTTTTTGTGAGTTTCTAGATGATTTTGTCGTCTCTTATTTAGACGATATTTTAATCTACTCTAAAGATGAAGAATATGAAGTTTATATTTATTGTGTGTTATAAAAATTTAAAAATATGGGATTGTATACTAAGATAAAAAAGTAGATATTCCACACTATCCAAGTTGACTTGTTAGGATACATCATTTAAAACAATGGTCTAATGATGGATCCTAAAAACATTCCGACAATCATAGATTGGAAGACTCCAAAAACAATAAGAGATGTATAATTTTTTTTCAAATTTGCCAATTATTATTGGATCTTCATCAAGAAATTTTCTCAAGTTGTAGTGCCACTTATATGCTTAACTTGTAAAGACAGGCTCAAGTGGAGTAAAGAAGCAAAAACATCATTTGAAGTTTTGAAGAAAGCTTTTACTTTTGCACCAATCTTGCATCACGTCAATTTCTCTAAAGTATTTTTTATGGAAACAGATGCATCTGACTTTGCCTTGGGTGCAATCTTATTACAAATAGGAGAAGATGGCATATTTCATCCAATAGCTTTTCATTCAAGAAAATTTTCAGCAGCCAAGATTAATTATGAAATCCACAATACGAAACTTCTTACATTCATGGATTCTTTTCAAGAAAGGTATCATTATTTAGAAGGCACTTTAATTCTAGTCACCATATATATGGATTACAAGAATCTGAAGTATTTCATGTCAGTACGTATTTTGAATTGTCGCCAAGCTCGTTGGAGTATGTCTTTGTCAAGATTTGAGTTTAATATCACTTATTGACTAGAAAAATAATAAGATTTGTTTGAAGATCTTTCTAGACATTCTTATCTTACACCAAAAGAAGGAGAAACAACTTTTGACCAACAAAAGATAAATTTACTAAAGCCAAAATAATTTCATCTCTGAGCAATGAAATCAACATTTATTGTTGATTTGACTTTTCTCAAGTAAATCCAAGCAAGTATGTCAGATCTTCTTATTTATGATATTAAAAATAATTCTTCTAAATCTCAAGATACTTTCAAATTTGAATTTGAGAAGAACCTACTCTATTTTGAAGGACGCTTATATGTTCCAAAAAGAGAAGCATGATTACATGCTCTTGAAGTTCATCACAATTTCCTTGTAGCAAGATATTTTGGATATAATAAGACTTTGGAGCTTATATTCAAAGATTTTTAGTGGCCTCAAATGTGGAAGGCTATTAAAGAATTTGTACAGACATGTGATGTTTGTTCAAGATTAAAAAATCCTCATCATCAAATTTATGGACTCCTCCAACCATTACTTATACCAGAACAACCATGGTCTTCAGTCTCTATGGATTTTATTACAGATCTTTCAATTTCAAGTTCATATAATTCCATATTCATGATTGTAGATCATTTCACAAAGATGGCATATTTTATATTATGTACAAAATCTATCACATGTGAAGGAACAGCTTAACTCTTATTTAACAACATCTATCGCTATCATGGATTACCAAAAGATATCATATCAGATAGAAGAAAATAATTTTTATCAAGATTTTAGAGAACTCTTTTCATGATATTGAAGGTGGATATAAAATTATCTTAAATTTTCCACCCTCAAATTGATGGACAAACAGAATAGGTAAATCAAGTTTTAGAGTAGTATTTGAGGTGTACCAACATCTATCAATAAGATGATTGGACAATTCTTTTGTCATTGGTAGAGTTTGCTTACAATAATTCGGTACATTCTTCTACTCAACAAACACCTTTTTTTTCCAATTATGGTTATCACCTATGATTTGACACTTTTGACTTTTTAGAAGTTGATAATCCTGCAGCAAAAGATGTGACAAATCAATTGTCAAAGCTACATGCAACAATCAAGGCACAATTAAAAGAAGCTAAAGAACGACAAAAAGCCAATGCAGATGTCTATCACAAGGAACAACCTCAATTCCACGTGGGAGATAAGGTATTATTACTATGTTGTAATATTAAAATTATTTGTCCTTGTGATAAGCTGGATTATTGTAGGCTTTGACCATTTTCTATTTGTAAACAAATCAATCCAGTTGCTTCTCGATTACATCTATTGAAGTCTATGAAAATCCATCCTATGTTTCATGTGTCTTTATTTGAGCCATACAAGAGAATGGATATACAAGGAAGGAGACAAATGCCACCACCTCTTATAGAAATGGAAAATAATGAAGAATTTGAGGTGGAAGAAGTCTTAGATTCAAGGTGGCATCGAAATAGGTTAGAATATCTAGTACATTGGCGTAGGTATGACATTAATGAACATAAATAGGAGCTATCCAGGAATCTAGCAAATGCATTAGCCAAAGTTAAAGCTTTTAATCAATGACATCCATCAAAACCAAGATAAAAAGTCAAAAAATTCTTTGCTATAAAGCAAAGCAAGTCCAATGGAGATTTCATTCCATCTTATATCATTGTTTCTTAAGATCTTTTAGTACTTAGGAGATGGAGAACCAACAACAAGCAGATTCAATTCAAGAGCTATCATTTGTTGAGCTACTTGATGAGACATTGCAACTATCACAACCTTCAAGATGGCAAAATCGACATGAAGACCCTCAAGAACAATGTGTTCTTCCTCGAATAGATGGCAAGATACAATTTATTTGGTACCACGACCTTAGAAAAGACTCCTGATGTTTAGTGATACTTTTGGAGATAGAAACCACTCCTCATGGTATTACTAATATTTTATTTGAAGGAAGTTATAAAGGCCTCAATAATAATCAAATATCAAGGTAGTCTTCCCGCTGTGGTATGGGACATTATCGATGGTTGAAGGGACCTATCAACTACATTCAAAGGGAATAAAGATTAGAGTATGTGGCAAATATAATTTGGCACATCGTAGACTTCATCTACATATAATCACCCCTCTTTGTGGAATTCGTCCCTAGAAGGGGGAGTAATATCATAGAGATACATATTTATCTTGATAATTATCTAGATAATAAGAATAGATAGAAGTAAGTCAAAGTAGATAAATATGATAATATCTTGTGGAAAGCTTCTTAGAAGCTTCATAGACGTTGCTTTGCTTTTATACATGTCTATAAGTGATTGGTAGTTGAAAACTTGGCCAACAAAGAGGCCACGTGTCAACATGTTGACTATTTGTAGTACAAGTTGGATATATGGCATACACCTAGGAAACTTGTCTTGCAAATTAGACATGTGTCTTGCAATTTAGACGTGTATTAGAGGTCTTATAGCATGTTGCCATGTATTCCTTAGTTAAGTTGTATATATAGAGGCAAAAGTGAGGCCTTCGTCACTTTTGTCAACCCCTTTCTTGGTTTTTAGTCTAGTTTCAAGAATCTTATGTTTTCTAGTCTTTAGAAATAGCTATTTTAGTTCTTCTTTGAATATACATACTTTCTTCTATTTTGTTATTTTTCTTTTGACACAGATTCCACAACCTTATGCATCTTCTTTCAATTTGTGTCCTTGACACATTGTGATTGTGTCCCTTAATGCTTCAGCGAGCCTTGAAAATCCGTTTGTGAGCTAGAAACTTTGTTTGTCATCTTACACTTAACATATTTGGATTCATTATCTTTATTGCCTCAGATCCCAAGTACTTCATGTAGTTATCACATATTGTCTTTTTATGAATTTTTGTTTACATACACTCTTGATTCATATTTTGCATATCTTTGCTATGTTCTTCTTTGTCACATGTCTTGATACGGAATGCTACACTTGCTGAACTCCAAGTCAGAGCTCATCTTTGCATGCAACCATTGTTGTTGTTCACAAATGTGTTAAGTATTACAAGCTATGGCTCATCTTCTTTGTTTAAAAAGTATGGTGATAGAATATACTTGAATTGTGGAGATGCAAATAAATATGATCTTACTACATGCATTTGGGAACTTAAAAAAACTTCTAAGAATAAGCAAATTAATTTGGATATATATAAAAATACTTAGTTGATCCAAACATAAAGGGACATAGAATAGTACATTTAAGCATTCTTCACTATAATTTAAAACTTATAGATCCTTTTACAAGTAAACAAATCAAATTTTAGACAATGTATCTAACATTCTTAAGCCTTAAAATCAAAGAGATTTTGAACAACCTCAACTTTCCATCATACTTATAAACAATTTGGACACAAATGAATGTATTTTCTTCTGTTATAGAAGGGCAGAGTGCCCAACACTTCTTAAGATTGATGTGGTCTATCTTTGTACAACCATATGATTGAAAAACTACAACTAGAAAATGTTTACTCATAATTGAATAGGATCGTAGATGGCTCAAAGAATGTCTCACGAAATAAAGTAATAATACATAATTTAGAAAAATTAAACCATCACTAAAGTTAAGGTAGATAGGTTGATATGCTTCTCTGCTAGTGGAGTGTTAGGGTCTCAGATGCCTTCTGTTACCACCAACACTAACCAATGCATTAGGTTGACCCCATTAGAGTCGAAAAAAAAAACTCAACCACATGTTGTGTCCCTATTTCTTATCACAAGTAAAGAAACAGGTTTACCACCCCACAGGGCTACAAACTGACACCCAAGATTAATTATTTTCAATAGAAACAACAGCACCTATTCTTTCGGGAGGCTGAAGTGATGTGACATGACATACAACGGTGTTGAGAAGCACTGTTTTCTAAGATTATTTGTCTAAGAAAACTTATCTAACAACATAAAATGTGTAGAAACCAATCTCAACTGCGGAGAGTAGTGCAGTGTAAGGTAAACGCTTCTCAAAAATTTCGAGGAACGAATCACTGCACAGTCAAAACCGTGGTGAAATCATAAGGCAATGCAGAACTACTTCTAACAAGGACTGTGCCTAGGATTCTGCAATTTTGGGTTCCACGTCAGCCCTGCAGTTCAATACACGCACAATTATCAGGACCCAATGAAAACAAGTTTTGGAAGAATTTCAATGCATCGAGTTTAAGTAATGACATCTGCCTACGTCTGGATCCAAAAAAATCCGTTTTATGTTTTCCCTCTACTCCAAGTGTAGAAATCAGCAGTCTCTCGAGACATCACTAAACATTGACAGGTCTGAATCTAAGCCTATGAAGGAGCGTCTTTCTGCAGAACAGATGGTGCACTTAAATAATGCGTCTGCAGACACATACATTTACGGACAACTGGAATGCAATAAGATCAGTAAATATAAAATCAGACCCCACGACATCGTGACTACAATTCCAATCTTCGCAGGATGCCCAATACAGCTTACACACACGCAGAGACTATTTAAGTATGAGGTATGCGGCAAAAGAACTTACTGAGTGCTATACCATCGATACCAACGCTGGAACTGATAAAGCTGCACACACTCATTGGAAGCATGGACACCAAGAAGGATATAGTTCCTTGGCTTGACCATCCAAGCGAACCTCATGAAAAGACCCGAGTATACGCACATAACGCCAGTCATGTTTCCCGAAATCATTTCGGGAGGTTTCTGCGTGTCCACCAAACCCTAAAACACGGCAGCAAGCTCATTATATAATTGTATGCTGCACAAAATATTGCTGATACAGGATAAGACTTATTTTCTCATAAAGTCGATGAGAAAATATTGCTGATCCAGCAATAGGAGAGTGTCCATGACTAAAATCTGCTATTAAAAAAACAGACTTTTGAAACAACAGATTGCAGCTGAACTGGGCCAAATATAATAGATTCTTAAGGCAATGCAACCTGCAGAGGAGGTACCATTTAGCTGAAAAGCAAGCAAATCATATTTCACAAGGGCAACTAAGTTCCTGTTCTGTTAGAAGCATACGTTTCAGAATCCTGGCAATCTAATTTCTGAAATATCTGTTTGACAGCTCAGGCGACTAAAGCTCAAATGCGACGTGTACATTTCGTGCAAATCATGCACTTGAATTAATACAGAAGTTCAGGGCCACTTAAAGTAAGGTTTACACAACACCATCTCACCATGGCAATACGGCGCCCCATGTCATCGATTCGAAACTAATACACACATAAAAGGGCAATAACAAATGATGCATGATTGACTACAAACATATTATAACTGCTCTTCAGTTCTTCACCGACCAATCTCATAACCCATTGACTTCACTATGCTTCGTATGAGCTTCAGTCCCATCCACAACCCCAAATCACAGCCGCATTCACAGCAAGTCAGTCGAACCACTTCGTGATAGAGAAGAAGGAGGTCAGTACCGCAAGTACGAAACCCCAGTTCGCCACTGGACCCCAGAAGTGCGTAGTCTTCGGCCCCACGGGACTGTTCCAGAATGCACGCATCGCCGCCATGGCAGCGGTTTTTTCCTCTAACCTACCCAACTCAATAGTTCATGTCAGAAAACTTCAATCCACAAAACACAACCGCGATCAGACCCCAATTTCGGACACAACTGAAACCCGCCAGAGAATTTCTACCTATCAATCAAACCCCACCAACAATTATTTGAAGAAAAAAAACAACCCCCACATCACACAACCCCACTTCGATGCCTCAGAATCCCCTTCTTCCAACAACCCTACGCTACGGAACCACTGTCAAATCTCAGTACGAGGGAGATACAGAACAAACCGGTGGAAAGAGACACTCACGGGTTCACACTCGCGCGAGATCGTGAAAGCGAAACCACCTGTCGCTGCCAAATGACGTTGTGCGGTGATGTAGCGATGGCGCTGAAGATGGATACGAGAAGCACACGCGACCCGATCGCATCGAGAGGGTGCGGGCCGAGCGACGACGATGCCTCGACAGGAGCAAGAGAGCCTTGGTTATAGGTTCAGGTCCCTATATCCGCACCTTCAATCATCCCGTGCCACCGGGGAATAGGAATTTCAGTACATCGGTCTTCAGTCTGCCTCGTCGCACGGTCTTGGGTACGTCTGTGTATTCAGGGCCTCGGTTGAGCCCACTGTTCACGGTCTTTGTGCCCAGGAGAAGCTGGGCCTGTCGCCGTGAGCGTGCGGCTTGCGGACTCGTGTAACTCCCATGAGGTGGTTCACGGCTTTGGGTACTTTTTCATGACTACGGTCCTGATTGTATTTGCATCCAAAACGGATATTTCATGACTGATGTACAGTTCCTTGAACTATGATTTACGGTTCTTTCAAGGATTTTGAGAAGATTGTGGTTACCCTTAAAAATAAATAAATAAATAATAGAATAATAAAAAAAAGGTGGAATAAAGGGGGGGAGGGCATAGAGAGAAAGATAAATGGTTTTGTTTTGTGGTTCACAAAATACATTCAATTTATTTTATTGCTATAAAAACTGCTTTTGGGTAGTTTTGCTGAGATTTGAGAACTTTCGCTGTAGTTTTTTAAAAAATAAAGAATAAAACTCTAAATATATATATATATATATATATATATATATATGTATTAAATAAATATTTTATGATATATATATTTGTAGATGGTACAAGAGTTGACTTCAGAAATATTTAACAAAAAATATATAAAATATAAAAATCTATTTAATCTTTAGTTATATTGACAGTTTCAATTTAGCAAATATATGAAAAATAAAAATATGTAATTCTACTACTTGTACGTAATCACAAGTATAACAGATTGTATTTAATTGATCTGAAAAAGCAATATAAAGATGCAGGGGCATGCCATTGAGTAAAGATAAATTTCTTTGGATGTGGGGGAAAAGACACACATGTATTGATAAAATTTCATTGATTTGAGGGCGGTTATTGTGATTCAAAAAAACTTATACATTAATACTTTAAAATGTAATTGAATAAGAGTGGTAAGCAAGCCAAAGTCGTCCCAATTCTATACATTTTAAAATCTTTGTCTTTTGTTGTAAACGGGGTGAAGCAAATAACAACCATGGCTATCAAGTTTTTTATGCAATAAAAAGTCATTTAAGGTTGATAAGTAAGGAAAGAATTGTAGAGAATACTTATTTACAATATGGGCTTTTACACTTGTTGGATGTATCATATGCATTTTGCTAAATATGAGGATCAACAAGGAAAAATACAAACAAACAACAGAGATCCAAATACAATTATAATAATATTAATGATAATAATGACAAATGGGTGTTTGTTCTGCATGTCACACCAGTGCACCTTAAATATTTTGCAGAGATGCATGGTAATCTTTAAATTCTTTATCACAAGTGCACTATATGACATTGAATTAAAATAAATAGTGTGATATCCAATGCTTGGAAATATAGAAGATAGATCCTTGAAATAAATAAATAAAAAATAAAAAATAAAAAAAAAAAACTCAAATTGCGATTTGAATCATTGCAAATATAATTGAAATAAATTTGTTACTTCAGAGAATGTTAAATAAATAAATACATATGGATTGATAGTTTATTTTCTTTTCTGTTCTTTTCAACATTTTTTTCACAGTTTTTACAACATCATATATGTGTTTTCTTGAAAGATGGCATGTTTTATGTACAAAATTAGATATGTATTTGTGTTCCCACATGTAAACTATTTAAAAACAATTGTTCATATGTCGCTCTTACGAATAATGCTACAGTGTAAATCAAGCGTGTAGTTGTGGAGTTTTGTGAAATAAGCCAACATTGAGCTCTTAGACAAAAACGAACATTTTAAAAATTATTTACAAGGAATAAGGTTAGGCCAAATGGTTGTATTGCCACATGTTTTTCAAAATAACATTTGTACATGGTCAAGTCTTAGTAATTATGCTCCCTATCCATTGTTTGCTTATTGTCCTAGAGTTTAAAGGCAGCAAGTTTTTTCTTTATTACATTTTTTCAATATAAGCTACAAAGTTTTGAGGCATTGCATTTTCAATTGGGCTACTATTGTATCTACTTGTAACCTTTCCTATAACTACGTTTATCATCATTGAGCTTAAGGTTACCCCATTAAATAGAAACGTTGGTAATTTGTAGTCTTATCCAAAATCTTTATTTAGATGAAAATTAGTTTTATTTAATTCATCTTCTCTAATATCTAATCTAGAAGTGTATTTTTAGCAACCATAGTTGTGGCCTTAACAAGCAATAAATGCATAAATATAAAAATAAATTTATGAAACAAAACGTAACTTTCTAAACAATTTCATAATGAATGCAATTTGAGTATAATACTAAAGTGTGATGGTAACTAAAGCACTTCATAGAATTTTCTTGAAGGAACACATTGCAATGTTAGTTTTTTGTGTTTTGTCAAACAGACTAGTAATATACATCAATGAATTTTTAATATGTAAAGTTGTGAAAATAATGTGGATGTAAGACCAATTCATGTGATCTTTATATGAAAAGAAAAGAAAGAAGTTTATAATTTAAGTGAATGTTACTTGTAAAGTGTATGACTACTGTTTCAATCTTACATGAAAAATATTTAAAATAAAAAATAATTAATTGGAAGAATCTCAATGAAATAACAAGAAAAGAAGATATTATTTATCCTTGAAAATAGGTAGTAATTTTTTTTCAATATATACTAAAGCACTTACAATGAATTATTTCTCAATGTAAAGACAGGTAAAGGATCAAATACTTTTGCTGCAAAATTACTATCATAATATTCATTCACACATAAAAATAGATTATCTTAATGTAGTGTAATTTCTATTATATATATATATATATATATATATATATATATATTAAGTGTGTGTGTGTGTGTGATTAGTCTTGTTTGTGAATACAAATCTAACTTCCAAAATTAAAACAATGGTTCAATTAAATGTATACATATATACACATACACATTTCAGTTCATCCATGTGTTATTAATATTTCATGAATTTCACAATTTGATTCACATGTAATATTACAAAATCATTTGAATTTTACTCTATTTTTTTAATGATTTATAAAGAAGCAGAATAACTACAATGTTGTAATGATATGGCATTTTCATCAACTAAACATATACATCTTTAATATAAGCTACAACATAATTAAAATTTAAGAATCCAATCAATATTAATTTCAAATCCACAAAGTTACATTGTATACTAGTTTTTATGAGGTACTTTCATATGATATAACCCTCATTACTTATTCTTCATATAAAACATTAAAAATCGATATGTTTTAATTTTATGAAAACTAAATCTTATATAACTTGTAATCTATTAAAAGTATTATGTAAAAAAATAAAACTCTTATAAAAAAATATAATTTATTTTCACACCATTTTAACATTTGGTTGTTGTTTTTATAACTCAAACACAGACACCTTGTTTTCAATTCTAAGCTGCAATCATGTGAATGCAATATTTAAAATCAATGTTTGACAATTAAAAAAAAAAAAAAAAAAAAAAAAAAAACTTATCTTTTCTGTGCAATTTGTGAATTTTCATCAAAATTGCAATAAAAATGCATCCCATCTCAAACATTCTGCAAAATCCTCCTACATTTCACAATCAACAAGCAATAATTCCACACGAATCCTAAAACCCTAAACAGAAATCAAAATCTATCAAACTTGTGTTGACTTTCAGAGACGGATTGACTTTCTCCGTTGTCTAAAGAGGCTGACGTGTCCTCCCCTGGACTTGGAAGAGGCCACGTCACTCCCAGGTGTGGACTGACTGAGGAGGTGTCCTCGCCGACCCGGTGGAGAACGAGAGGTGTGATCGGGGGATCGACGCCCGTGAGAAGCATGGCGAGGATAGAAGAAGAATCGCGGAGGAGCCTCACGCGGTGTTACACGATCCATCACACCCACCTTATCTATCGTTGCCTGCCTTTCTCAGCCACTTGTCCTCGCCATCGCTGGCTGCCCCATCACGGGCCAGAACCCCCCGTAGCTCCCCCGCTGCAGCTGTGCACATGTTGCAATTCATCGATTGAGGCGTTGAGAAATTTGTGAGCGGAGTGCAAGTGCTGTTTTGCGGGACTGATCGTTACCAGAGGGGGAGAAAAATGGCGCAGTGCGCGACACAGATGCGGGCGATGACGAGCTGTGGGATGTATGTCAAGGGTGTGGTCGTGCCGGAGAACAGCGGCGTCGGAAGTGTGGGAATTGTGGCCGCGTCGAGGTTGGCCAGCGCGTCGCAAGCATGGCGCTCTGCCGCCGTGGCGCGCCTGCGTGTGGGTGTGGCTGGGCGTGTTGAATCGCCAAGGCAGTCCAACCTTGTGTCAGGTGGGTCATTGTTTTCGTGTGTATTTTTGTGCAGGAGAGATTGTAGTCAGTTTTCGGGTTGGAGAACCTTGCTTTTTTGATGCTCATTGCCCTCGAGTAGTTAGAACTCGGCGCGCGATTTTTAAGGGCATGCAATGTCTTCATTTGTGCGGGTAGATGACAGACGATGATATGAAAATGGGAACTAAATTAGTGTCTGGAGAAGAATGTAGCTGGGGACTCCAGATTCATCTGAAATATGACATTTCCTGAATGGCATTATCAGATACGCCCTGGCCTCTGATCGGAGCATGCGATTCCATGAGGATACTTAGCCAGTCTTTTTGTCAGCCCAGAATTGGGAATTCAAATATGTTATACAGTGTACCTCGATAACGGAATTGTACAAGCTGATGATGAGAGCTTAGATAAGTAAGCAGCATCCTAGCATGGGTGAATGCATAATGCATGAAGCTGACTATGTGGATGGATCCAAGTATTTTGCTCTACAAGATTCGCGTGCTCTTTTCACGTCGTTTCTGAATGCTCAAAGTCTTTTGTCCCTGAGCCCCGTCTTTCAAATGTTGTAATGAAGTTCGTTGCGTATAAGTCCACGCGGAATGCTTCAAGTTACAGTGAGTATAGGTTGTATGTCATATGTCATACGTCTTTCGGTTCTAACACGAGAGTTTCGTTGTTTGGCAGTGAGAGCTTCAGAAGGACCGAACAGCGAGGGGAAGGGTGATGACATGAGCGGATACGGTTTGGGAGGCAAGGGATCCTTCTTCGGATTCGGACGCTTTCAAGAGCTTCAAGTGGGTCGTCTAGCTATGGTCGGCTTCGCGGTGAGAATTCCACCCTTTTCTAACTTCGCCGGTATTTCTCTTGTGCTCCAAAGTCGAGGTCGGCATGTATATGTGTTCGTTTGATGTTACTTCCTCTTGCAGCGTTGTGTTGCATCTGCTCTTAAGATGTCCCATGCTCGAGTCCAGTTCCCCTGCACTTCACGAGTTGACGCGAATTACTTCGTTTGGTACCAAGTATGATGAACCATGTAGAAAGTTGATGATGAAGTCTAAAGTCAAGCGTTAAAGTATCTCCATTTTGGAACCGAATCTGCGGTGTCATTGTGGGCGTTGCGCTGGGAGAAGATATATCCCCTATGTTCACAACGATGTAGCAGACAACTCTTTGTCAGTTCGCTGTAGATGCACACGGTTTTACGTAGTTGTGTCAGGTTGCCTCTGCTTTTAGCCTCCGGCAGACGAAAGGTTGTGCCAATACACAATGTTGTCTGATCATAAGAAACGTTTAACCACTGCCATTTGTGATGAATCAGTATCATCTTTCTCTCTCTGCCTCTTTATCATTGATGTGAAGTCACTCGCTGCGACAGGCTGCTGTTGTCATGGAGGTCATTACTGGCAAGGGTGTCCTCGGGCAACTAGGAATCAACCCCCTGGCTGTTCAAGGACCATTCCTCGCAGGCTTTTTGTTTCTTCTCATCGGCGGGCTGCTCGGTGGCTATGTGGTCATCAACAACCCCCCAGACACCAGCAAGGCTCCCCCGAACGAAGGTGATGGGCTGCCCCGGAATCCTCTCAAGACCTACGACCCTCAGAACATCGATCCTCTCACAACCTACACACGAGGTGGAGTGGTGGACCGACCCAGTGGACAGGTACGACCCCTCTTTTCATTGCATCACCATGCCCCTCTCCGCTCCAGTTGCATTTGTGCTGTTAACTTCCATTACCCTGTACCTGTGGACGCTGTCTAATTACTTCAATGTTTCTGTGCAGAAGGGAAAAGAGCCATATGTGTCTGACCTGGACCTCCCTCCTCCCAAGCAGTAGACTCAACCAACCAGCCGAAAATTCCACATTTCGATTCTTGAATATGCAACATGTAACATAACATTGTCAAGGTCTTGTGTGATGCCGTCAGAAGAGCAGTGAATGGCAAGTTTGTCGCCGCAAATGGAGTGTAATATGTTCCATACATCCTGTGCTTTGGGCTTGATACACTGTTACTCTGTACCTGCCTGGAATATATCTTTGCTTCACTTTTGTGCAAGTAGTGAGAACAATCTTTCGAGCATGTGCTCAGTAGACTATTGCATTTTATTTTTTAGGCAACTTTGGTCAGCAATTTGTTGCTTGGGTCGATGTGTTTGTGTTTTTTATTTTTATTTTTCCACACAGAGCCAGTGGACTGCGAGCGAGTTAGCATGCAACAGCCACAAGGCTTGCAATGCTAATTGGTGTGGGCAATTATCCACTGTACCCAGCATGTAACTTCTCTATAAATATCACGTCTCTTCATTTGATACCTTGTGTAAACATTCTGTAAGCAACGAATGCAGTTCGTAGCATGTTGTACATGTTGAACAAAGAAATACCACTTATAAGAGTGCTTTTTTTAGAATATATATATTTGATATCACAGTAAAAATATTTGATACATGAATAAATACATTGATTGTCAGATTTGTGTGATGTCAGATACAGAATTCGTATTTGAAGCTGTCATGTTTCCTATGTTATAAACTTAAACATTTTAGTTCTTTGATTCCATTATAATTTCAATCCAGCTGGTTGCATACACTTTATTTTTATAAACTGTCGAGTCAAGTAAAATAAATGCGATTCTATTGTTGTGCTCTTTTGTTTAATACATTCAATTCTTTTGACCTGTTAGTTCCACATTGAAGTGTTTATCTGTTTTAACAGCAGTTATAAGTATGATTCGAATTTGAATACTTTCAAACTGGGTCTAATATCATTGAGGTAATATGTTGTGAATAATATATTCTAACCTAAATTTGTTACATTCCAAAGCAATATCTTATGTTCCATACACCCTGCAGGGTATTTGTACATTGTTACCAATTACATGTCAAAAAGAAATAATACATTTTGATAACACATAAACTATTTGGAAGATTCATTAATTTCGTGTTAATTTCATATGAAATTATAACTTCTAAAAATAATTGGAGTATAAGATAGGTATATTAAAACAAATACAATGTAATTATTTATTAAATAAAGTATAGTTTTATTAATTAAAGATAAATTACCATGTTTAATAATTATAATAAAAAACTATGTTAATATTCTTGGGTGTCTAGATTTGATAAATCAACCTTTCAAAGGTACTAAAAATTATATAATACAATATGATCTATTAATATATAAAATAACAAAGAAACATTTTTATTTTAAAAATTATTTAAAATATGTATTAATCTATTTTTTTTTAAAAGTTGAGCAACTAAGAACTAAAAATATGCATAACCATAATTTCATTTTCATAGAATTCATTGTCTTAAGTTCTAATATTTACAACACAGAAAACTAAACAGAATTTTTTTGTCTATTGATGTTAACTTTTCATATTATACTGAATTTTTATATTTTACCTTTACTTTTCATATTTTTAATTTATTGTGTATAATTTACCAATTTAGTATGATTTTACCTTATAAACCTACATTTATTATATAGCAAAAGTAACAATAGCAATTTTTAGTTAATTTTAAAAAAAAGTAAAAAGAAACAATATTAGTTTTATTATTTAAATACTAAAAGCATTTAATTTTTATGGATAAACTTTATTTAAATCATTATTTATACAAAGCATGAATATATATATATATATATATATATATATATATATATATAATTTTTTCATTTCTTATATGATTTTTAAAATTATAAAATGATTTCTATAGTAGAGAATTTTAATTTAATTTATTTTTTTTTACTTTTATATATATATAAGTGGTATTTCTTTGTTCAACATGGCAATGAGTAAAAAATTATAAAAAAATAGACAATTTAAATAAAAATATAAAACTTCAATAACATTATATTATATAATACTCCAAATACATTGTTTCTATCATAATTAAAAAAATTTATTTTTTTTACTCATTGCCATCTTTATAAGCTCTATATATATATATATATAGTTATTTTAGTATTCTATAAAATAAGAGTAATCTATAAAACAAAAAGTTGAGGTTTTTGTTGATTGTATGCCACCTATGTACTTGGCTAACAAATCCTAGATGTTTAGATAGTTAATCCATTGACTCTTTTTTATTTTATTTTTTATTTTTAACATATAAATTTAATGTATTCTATGAAAAAATCTTTAAATAGCCAATAATTTGAGCTATTTCATTCATGAAAATCCTTTATTAAGTATTCATCCATGCCACAAATTATATTAAAGCCGAAATTACAAAATAAAATAAAACTTTAATTTTTCCAATTTTTTTTATTTTTTTTATTTGATTCAATTTTATAACTAATTAAAAATAATCATGATAGTTATATGAAAAGTAATATGTAATAATTTAAAAAAAACTGTGATAAATGTTTATTCTAATTTTCATTCAAAGATGGTGAATACCAAATCAACAATCAAGAATACTAAAATACATATTAATTTATAAGATACTAAAAAAAATTTAATATAATTATTAATTAAAATAAGAAATTATAAATACAAAAGAATTATAAGATTGTAAGGACATGTACACCATTTGAATTATATATATATTATGTTTGTTAATATCTTCAAAAGATAAAGTAATATTTTTACATAAAACAATGCTAGTAGATTATACAATAAAATAAGTTTTAGCAACCTAGTTAGTAGATATGTGATCTCTATCTATCAATTAAAAACTCGACTAAACAAATTTAGACATGTCATAAAATAATAAAATTTTAATATAATCAAGCCTAATTTGTATCCAAATTTTATTTATTATGATTATGATTTTTTTTTTAGTTTAAAAAAAAATTTAAAAAAAATTATTATCACTTTTAAGTTTAGACTATATTCTTTCTAAAAGCTGAACTATTTTAAAATTACAAACATTTAGTATACAAGAAAATAGCATCACTACTGTTAAATTTAATGTATTATTACAATATAAATATTACAACTTTTTCACTTGTATAAGAAATAGATGGCACAATAATAATTAAGGCAAAAACAAAACAATACACAAGATAAATTTGATTGCAATAAGAAATAATGAAGCTCTATTTAGCCTTGAGTTATTCAATCAATGAAAGAAGGTAAACTATTGAAAGGAGTATTTAATTCAAAATTCATAACTATTGAATTAAATATATTTACTAAATAAAATCTTTTACAAGAAATAAAATATATGAAAATATGGATAATTTTTTTATAAACAGGATTATTTAATTTCATGATGTCATTATTATTTTAAACCAATCTTGTCAATGCCAAACCAAGACTCAAACCACAATTATACAGAAACTATAGACATCTATTCTATTGATAGATGATTTAATACATTCTGTACATCTTTTACTTTTAATTTAGATATTATCATAAGATTTTGATTTTTTTGAATTTTATATTTAATATTTTTGCATTTTATGTGTATTTTTTTTCAAATCTAATCTGTTCATATGGTTTTTTATTTTATTTTATTTTTTGAAATAAAAAATTATAAACTCTTACTGATGTAAATTATTTTATATTTAATTAGATAATAAAAGAAAGTTTATATGGCCATATAAATTTGTAAAGTTTTATAGCATCCATAGTTCTTTTGTATTTTTTATAATAGTTTTATTTTTCTAAAATCAAGTTTTCTTTTACAGTGCATTTAGATTATACAGAAGCTTTTATTTTTAATTTCATTATTAAGTTCAAGCTTCCTTCTCTTATAAACACTCGAAGTTTCATTCTATTGAAGTTTGAATTTTTGCACTCTTTCTTTAAATATGTCACAACATAAATCATGGATTGTAGAAGCACCTCTAAATTGTTGCTTTTGTGTATAATATCTTCTTCCCTTGCATAATCATTTTGACTTACATGTCTTACAAGAAAAAAGTAAGGATTTTTAGAGTAAACTAAATATGTATATTTTTAAAATAGCCTTATTTATTTTACATTCTAAAAATAATATTCAGATCATTTTTCTATGATATTTGACTCAGTTCAGCTCAATGATAAAATACTTCCATATATATGTTTAAAATATTCCTTTCAAAAATCTAATTAGAATCTACCGAACTTTAAATCTTAAGGTCTAGACTTTTTTTAATTTCTTTCTATTTTAATTCGTTTGAGTTAATATAAAATAATAATTTATAAACTTAATTGCAATGCCGTTAGATGTATACCAAAGACTATAGAAAAACAAATAATTTTGTTTCATACTTTGTGGCTTAAAGAATTTGTAATCAGTAAAATATTTACATAGACTAATTTTTTTTTGTCAATTTCTTTTTAAATTTAAATTTAAATTTTTCATAATTGATTCTTTAGACGCAATTTATACTTGATTGCTTTGTAAAATACATATCATTTGTTGATTAATTTTTTATCTGATTGACTGATCTGTTATTTGAAAATGTAGATCATTTTTGTTTTATAATATACATATATGGTAAAGCATAAAGTAGTATCGTTAATGTTATTAATTTTTTAAATTGTATTTTTTATGTTATAAAAATTTAAACAGTAATACTATTTAAAGTTTATGCATTGTATAATTTTTAGTTTGATATAATGATATACATATAGTTAAATCTATGTAAATATTATAAAAAATAATATAAATATTTTAATTTAGATTATTTTTATAAATTAAAATTTAAATATATATTATATTAATTAAAATATACTTATTATTATAAATTTTAATTCTAGTATAAAAAATCATTTTTCTTATGAAACTTTAGACTGGAGAAAAACATGATTTTTGTGCAATTAAGAAGAATAAATCAAACTATTACAAAATTTATTACCAATAATAAATAAAATTTTAAGATAATAATTTTAAGAATCAAAATTTAAAGAATGATATGATATTACAAGTGTAGATATGTATTATAAGTATAGCAAAATATAATTTTAGATAAATCGTAGAGATACTAATTGTATAAAAAAATTGCAACATTTAAGTGATATTATCTCAATAAGAAGCTTTTATTTTTATTTATAAATATATGTATGAAGCTTTTATTTTTGTTTATATATATATATATATATATATAATAAAATAAAAATATTCTTTGGTAGAGAAGATAAACAGAACTAAAAGTTTAAAAAACATATTTGATATCACATTGCAGCTCCTGTATTAAATTTTTTTGAATAAAAATTAATAATATCATTCTTGATGATTTTAGCTTTTTATACACCTAGACAATTTCAACACCAAATGGATGGGTTTCTTCTAGAAATATAATTCCTACCAAATTATGCACAATTACAAATTTTTGAAATAATTAATAAAAAAATAAGTAATAGAAAATAAATTAG